TCACTGGCATGGAAGAGATCTGAATATTCTGTGTGTTTGCCGTGCTTTGGTTTCTTCCTGAGAACTTTTGTGCATGGGAGTGGGTGAGAATGTCAGTGAATGGAAACTTTTCAATTCATGCTTATAGTTACTTTAGTTAAAAACTAACCTCTGAGTTGTCCAGGGCAGAAGAATGTCTGGTTTCTCTTTACTGTTTGAGCTTGGTTATGCTGTAGATGCTGAGTTGCTCATTTCTGTCAGGACTAGAATGCCTCTGTGCGTGTTCAAAGATGCAACCCTAGACAACTTGGGAACTTTTCAGTTCTAACAAGGGAAGTGCCTTTGGCAAAGCGGTTGAGCAAGAATTTCTCAAGATCACAGTTTTATGCAGGTAGGTACTTACATTTCAGTGAAATCTTTCAACTATCCTAGCTTCTTTTCTAATCTCGCCTTTGCTGACTAGTTTATTTTAACTGAGTAACTTCATTGTTTTCACTGAACACAGTATTGTTCAGCATTTTAGTCTATACTTTGCCAGTTGGAAATACCTATATTACAACAGTATTTCTCAGACACTGATAAGATAAGCAGGGTGGGAAAGGTAGAATGGGGAGAAAATTTTGTTTTTTTTAAGTGCTAGTCTTCTTATTTGTCAGTGATTACTACAACTTTAAAAACTTTTCTGAAGTAAAAGTATAGACATCTCCGAACAGTGTGTAGAATTTAGCAAGAAGCGTAGGAGCCATAACTTTTGATTTTTGAATACAGCAAATCCAATTGCAATCCAACTGTGTTTAATTCTTACAAGCATGGAGTTGATTGTGTGCCCAGTTGGTTATTAATAGTGATCATTCCCACATGTGTCACAGTCAGAAAGCCATTGTTTTAATTCTCAGAATGTTTTATTGGTAAAAATGGGTAAATGTGGTTTGTATCTGGCAACTAGATACCTTTAATGTGTTGATATTTTACCATTTATGAACTGGAGGACCTGAGATGGAGTAAAACTGATGTGAGTCAATTTTTTTTTTATTGCACACAAAATGAGTGTTAGCAGTGAAGGTAGCTAGTAGTTCTATGGCTATATTGAAAAAGTCTAGCACAATGAAAACACCTTGCAAAAGAATTTGTGTTTTAATCCATTGGTGAGTATATAGAGTGAGGTCTTTGGGGTTTGTTTGTCTTTTAGTTTGGGGTTTTTTTGGCTTGAGTTTTTACTATCTAAAATTTTTAGGCAGAGCTGTTATTTCATTTGCTAGAGGAAATTAACTCAGCTGCAGAACCTATTAGCAGTGTTAGATTAGGAAGTAGGTCAGTTATTACTAGGAGGTTGATGTGCCTTACCTTTGGATACTGATATCTAACAACTTTTCTTGTATTATTTCAAAGCAAGATAACAAATCAGGTGACCTGTCTGGAGACAGTTTTCTATCTGAGGACTTACCCTGAAATGTTCACAGTCTCCATTTGCAGTTTTGGGGAGTTTACCTTCAACATCAATAGAATAAATTATCCTTTAATGAGGTAAGCAGTTAGCACTAGAAGTTGCTTACAGGATGTGCTTTTTTTAAAAGAATATTTTTGAACTTGAGTACTCATTTGTAGAGCTTGATTGCAATTACAGCTGAATCCTGGTGGTTCCATGCTTGTGGTTCTTCAAGTTGGATTTCCTCCAGTATTTTTATGGCTGCTTTCTCTTCTAGTTTTAAGACTTGTAATACAAGTTCTAATCCTGTAATACAAGAATAAAAACCGACCTTGAGAATTTCTATACATACAATACTCTTGTAAAGCTGGGAATAAGGAGCCTTGGTTATTCCCTGGTATATCACTGCGGGATAAGCATTCTTCCAAAGTCAGTCTGGGATGGTGTCTGAAGTCAGTATCAAGTATTTATCACAGCCTTCCAGTGTCAGTGGGAGTGAAAATACTGTGGTCATTACAGTTTTACTTCTGTGTATTTTCCCTTAAAGAGTTGTCCAAATTAATTTGTAAATTCTTGTATTTTATACAACTCTTTTAGGCTACCTGGCTCACTCTGAAATCTTGTTAGAAGCAAATTGTGTATGTCAGAACAGATGATAGGCAGTCTTTTACTATCACTAGCTCAACAGCAGGCATGGACCTGGACTTGGTTGAGAAACAACTTGGGGATTTAAGCTTTTCCAAGTCATTGTCTTTTTGAATGTTGTGCAAATGAATTTATTGCTGGTAACTGTCAGAGACGCTCTTTAACAGACAAGCTGGCTTGTTGCTGGTTTACGTACGGTGAGGAAGGAATACAACAATATATTTTGTGATAAAAAGCTTGCATGGAGAATTACAATATCCTTAGTTATTTCTGGTTCCTACTTAGCTGTGCTGCAAAACATGAGTTTTGTTAGCAGTATCCTTTCAGGGGAAAGATTTGAAAAAATGGTAAAATTGAAAAAGTAGCGCACACAACCTCAAAAGTAACGGCATTGCTAAATATAAAAAGCTTGCATGGAGAATTACAATATCCTTAGTTATTTCTGGTTCCTACTTAGCTGTGCTGCAAAACATGAGTTTTGTTAGCAGTATCCTTTCAGGGGAAAGATTTGAAAAAATGGTAAAATTGAAAAAGCGCACACAACCTCAAAAGTAACGGCGTTGCTAAATGTTGGCTTACTTAAAAGGTTGTAGGGCGGGTTTGTATGTACCTATCCTGAAACTGTCAGGAATTTTAGCTGCTAAATGTAGTTGTCCGAGAATATGTCCCATGTCATCCTGGTGCTAGAGAGTTGAAACCTGAAAGATTTTCTGTGGAGCTTCAAAGAGCTTCCAAATGTCCATAGCCACATTGAAGGAAGTAATAGCTACATAGAAAACAACGGATAAGATTTTGAAGCCTGTTTTGCAAAACAGCATGTACTGATTAAGTAACAAATATTTGTTGTCAAATGATAAAATCTTATGTGGTTATTTCTGCATCCACAATGTTCATCCTTTGCTTGCTTGCTTTATCTTCAAATGTAATCTTTTGGAGTTTGTCAGCTCTTAGAGTAGCTTTGTTACTACAGACCTTTTATAGCTATTTCATGTAGGGTTTTAACTGAAACAGAAATTAATGCTTTCTGGAAACTCTAGTACTTGGCTTCCTTGATAGTATTTATATTCTTCAAGAAAATCATGTATGAAATAGTGTTCTCTTTCTGCTGACACCACTACAGCTGCTGTGAGAATTAGGCAAAGATCCATTATGCAGCAAATGTAAAACTCTTTTTTTTATTATTTATCTCCTCAAGGGAGAGTCTAGTACTTGGTCACCTTCAACAGAATATTGGTTCCTCTAAAGGAGTGTTTCTTCACCTAAGCTAAGAATATTGACCAGTATGATGCCATTGTTTTTTGTAATTTTCAGTTGCCTCTGTCTCTTCTCCCCAGTAACTAGCGATAGGACAAGAGGAAATGGTCTTAAGTTGCGCCAGGGGAGGTTCAGGTTGGATAAGAACTTCTT